TTTAAATGAAATGTTTTATTTCATTGGGCCTTGAACAGCAAAATAAACAGATTATTTTTTTATTTAAAAACTAAGTGGGATAATGCAACTCAAACATACTAGGGCTTTAAACAAGACAAATTTGTTTTCACACACCCTCCTTTGCATTCGAACTGATCTTTTAAAAATTAATGGGCCTCTTTTGATTGAGAAAGGCCCATGGACCTTTTTACCAAACAACCCCCTTCTTAATTCTAAATACCATATAGAAATAAGACTATATAATATAAATAGTTTTTTAAAAAGAAACCTAAACCTAATGTAAGGGTAGGGAAAATTTGGGGTATGACAGTTGCCCCTATTTAATTACCTTCCAATTGAATAGTACGAGAATACGTAGGTCTCACACGTTTAATTGGAAGTTTATTAAATATTGGAAAACCCCAAGATTTGTCCGAGCTAGTATAAGAATACACTGTATAGTGTTCCTATGAGTATGAAGAATAAGCATGGATGATGATGTATCATCCTACCAGCGTTTGGACCAAAGTTGACTAAGACTCGACGACGCGGATAACTCGTCAATATCTAAGAGATTGTAAGATTTTGTTTATTTGCTGCATGGAGACTGATACAATGGATTGCACAAATTTTGTTATGTTTACTATAACCTAGGGAGTAAACAGTACGAGGATGAACTTGTGCTTTTATCATAACCTAGGGGATAAAATACCACAGGGGTGGGCTTACGTTATCCATCGCAACCTAGGGGTGAATAATATAACCTCGCAGATTCGCATATCTATCGTAACCTAGGGGATAGATAATTGAAAGAAACTTGAAACCAAATATTTGGAACTTGGAATGACGATGTTGGTTGTACCGTTTCAACCAAGATTTGATGATCAAACAAAATATACTAGATTTGAAGCGATGGAACCCAAAATTCACTGATGAGGTTAGTTGTGTCGCCTCAACCATAACCATCAACATGAAGAAAAATACCCCAAACCCATGATGATGTTGGTTGTTTCGTCTCAACCATAACCAACATGAAGAAAATAAACCCCAAATTCATGATGATATTGGTCGTTTCGTCTCAACCATTATCAACATGAAGAAAATAAACCCCAAACTCATGATGATATTGGTCGTGTCGTCTCAACCATTATCAACATGAAGAAAATAAACTCCAAACTCATGATGATATTGGTCGTGTTGTTTCAACCATTATCATCATGAAGAAAATAAACCCCAAATTCATGATGATATTGGTCGTTTCGTCTCAACCATTATCAACATGAAGAAAATAAACCCCAAATTCATGATGATATTGGTCATTTCGTCTCAACCATTATCAACATGAAGAAAATAAACCCCAAATTCATGATGATATTGGTCGTGTCGTCTCAACCATTATCAATATGAAGAAAAGAAACCCCAAATTGCTTTATAGTTTAAACTACCTTCTGCCATTCATGATGTATATGCATAATGTGAGGCTCTAAACGAAAAATCTACTGCCGAGACTTCCAAGGAATCTACTGACGAGATTCAATTGTGAACTACCTTCTACCGAGGTCTTACGGATAATCAACTTCCATGATCAACCAGAAGAATCTACTGCCGAGATTCAATTGTGAACTACCTTCTGCCGAGGTCTTCCAGATAATCAACTACCGTGATCAAATAGGAGAATCTACTACCTTGATTCCATTTGAATTACTTTCTGCCGAGGTCTTCAAGATGATCAACTATCGTGATTAACCAAGAGAATCTGCTTCCGAGATTCAATTTGAATTACCTTCTCCCGAGGTCTTCTGGATAATCAACTGTCGTGATTAACCAAGAGAATCTATTTCCGAGATTCAATTGCGAACTAACTTCTGCCGAGGTCTTCCAGATAATTGACTGTCGTGATCAACCAGGAGAATCTATTGTCGAGATTCAATTGTGAATTACCTTCTTCCGAGATCTTCCGGATAATTGACTGCCGTGATCAACCAGAAGAATCTACTGCCGAGATTTAATGTAGAATACCTTCTATCGAGGTCTTTTGGAAAATCAACTACCGTGATCAACCAGAAGAATCTACTGCCTAGATTCAACATAGAATTTGTAGCTTGATTGCCAATGATGATTTTCTTCACATAAAACAAGGTTTCATGCTATGCGTGCGAATTTGATTGATGCATGAAATGTGATGATTGATTGATGTATGTGATGAATGACTTGGATATATGTGAATGGATGTTGGATTTTGAAATGCGAATGCGTAGTTGAGCTTTTTGAGGTATGCTCGACCCATGCTGTCGGATTTTGTCAAATGGATGATATGATAAGTATGGCTGGGTTTTTGGATCAAGGAAACCCTAATGCATGATTTATGTAGCCTTATGTTTTATGATAATGATTTGAATGCTTTTTTTTGGATGGTACCCCTGTTATGGGTCGTGGATGATTAAAGCGTAGAGGTTTGGTTATGAAACAAGGTTGCTTGTCACATGATGGTTAAGTGTTGTGCTTGCATGATTCCTTGATACGTGTTTCGAACTCGAAGATTGCTGACGTAGAAGAGAGGTCCCCAGGAGAATTGTGAATGTATGAAGAGAGCTTGCTTTTGTATGGACTGTTTTTCCCTAAAAATTTTTTGGTAGGGTCTTGGAGGAGATGAGCTTGGAAACAGTTTGATCATAATGTAATGACCCCACTATTTTATATTATTCGCCTGATTAAAAGACTCTTAAAAATGCTTGGATTTGATGGACCCTTTTGTATCAACTCCTTTTGCTCGAGCCTCATAGTAATTTTCCCCAACATTCAAAATTTGAAAGACACGCCCCTCAATCTCCAGGATATGGAGGAAGTACCTTTAGAAGGAACTTTAGACTTCTCCATGAACTTGACATAGGTTGCCACTGATCATCAATGCCTTGAGAAGCTTGTTAACATAAGGAAACTGAGTCATACTCTGTTGTGATATGAGTTGATTAAGGAATGATCTTCCAGAAGGTATGCCCTTGATTGTACAGTGCTTTAAAATTTGGTCCAAGTTGATTGAATCTTTTAGAAAGATCACCCCTTGTCAACAGTATCTTCATGTGATATACCCTTATGATCATTAGTATTTTCCCATGTTTATAGGGATCCCCTTAGATGCTTTTCCCCCTAGTTAGAACCTTCTTGGAAATGTTGCCTTTGATCAGACCTTTTTGAAATCCCCTTGATAGTAAGTATTGATTCGTAGATAAGATTGTACATTTTGAAAAATTAATTTCGTTATATGCACATGCAAGTTCTTGAAATAGAAGTTTGATTATTAAAAAGAAATGGATGATTAGGAACATATATTCGAAGAAGTGAAGTGATTAATAATTTTAACAAACATAGGAGTCAGTTTTAACACAAATCTTGTTGAGTATGCTTTCATAGTGATCCTAGCTTCAATTAGGAATGTTAAAGGTTATAACGTGGCCATGGTTCGTGGTTTAAGAAACAAAAGATATAAGGCTCAAAATTTGTTTAGCCCACCCCATTCTTCTTGATGTTCTTCAATCCTAAGTTCAATTAATCCAACAAATACATTTAATCCCCAAGAGAAACTTGTACTCACGTAGATGATGGGAAGCGTAGATAAAGATCAAAGCACCGATAAAAAGTATCGATAAGATCCAAGCGTTGATAAGATCCAAGCGTTGGTGAGAAGCCCTGATGATTCTTGAGGTGGCAGTCACAAGATTGTTCTCCAATTTATTATTTTCAATCCCTTGCTTTTGCATGGACCTTTTTTTTTTGTTGAATTTTTTTGAATTTTCTTTTTTTTCGATCCATCGGGATGCCCTAACTTTCGCCTAAGTCAAGTTCTGATTTCTTTTGACTTAGTGGGCTTTTGTTTTTTTCTTTGAATTTCTTTTTTCGCTTTTGGTTTTGAAAATTAATGTGTGTAGCGGTGAAAATTGGAGATCAAGCTATTAATTAACTTGACTCACAAATAAGCAAGAGTCGTCATCGCGCTTTATTATTTACAAGGGAAAAGGGAAAAGAGCAAAATAAAACCCTTAAATATGCAATGTAAAGTAATACTTAGAAGTAATGAAAATACAATGCGTTTTTTGAAAGAGATCTAGAGTTCGGGGGTTGGTTATACAATGGGAAGGTACTAGCACCCAATGCATCTGTGATACTTTACAGAAACCTTTTGAAATATCTGTTTTTTGGTTAAAATTGTTTGTTTGGTTAGAATGGTTTGTTTGGTCAAAAATGGGTGTGAATGAGATTTTGAAGATACGACGACCTAGTGTCGAAGTTTTGACTTAAAAGGTGTGAGTTTTAAAATTGAGTTTTTTTAGGAAAATTAACTTAAGATTAACAAAAATAGTAAAGCAGAAATGAATGAAAGTATTCGCACAATCGTAACAAATATATTTGATGACATGAAGTCAACAAAGTTAAAACATTTCCCTTAGAATTGAGACGGAAAAACGATATAAAGATTAAACGACCGAGAATAAAGTTAATTAGAGCGACAATCGAATAATAACAAAAATTCAATAAGAGGTTAATTTATAAGCATGTATTTTTAAATAATAAAATAAGAAAAATTAAATAAAATATTAAGTTAATATCATGTTTTTATATTTTATAATGGCATGAAATAATTATATGTATAAACTAAACTAATGTTTTTTAAGAAATATATAGTCAAATATGGGGAGATAAGGCTAAAAGAACTAAAAAACAGAAACATACCCCAACATGGGGTTGAACTCGTGTCCCTTAGGTTATTAGTGGCATGCTTTGCCAACTGAACTATGCTATTTATCTGTTATTACTATGTTCTAATTTAAAAAAAGAAAGTAAATAATGATAGTGATTGGGCCAACAGGCCCATTAGAGGCTGACCCGGTTTGGGGAAGAGGCAAGGAATATTTTTGAAAACACTATTAACAAAGGGTGCCGCTGTTGTTATTTATTGGGAAGGGACAAAAAGATTAAACTATTATTCTAATAAACTCTCCTTTCTATGTCTTTATCATGAAAAAAAATTCACACTCTCTCACATCAGTAACATTACCATAAGACAAATGAGTAATAGCAATATCATCAAGAAGAATAGTAAAATACTTCGCCCTTCTCACAAGACTATCCCTAACCAGCGCTGAAACCTGCGACCGATCCATAAGCAGTTGATCTGCATTAAAGTGTGCAGCAAACGCTTTCAACACATCATTCCCAATCAATGGAAGCACCTTCTCATCATACTCTAATCCAAGATTCTTCACAAAAGTCGGAAGTCGTTCCGTATCGGGCCGCGAAAGCATATAGAGAGTGAGATTCACCATCTGGAGATCCTTGGTACCTGAGATCGAAGAGAATGTGTGAGGATGAGTGCGGATGTCGAAGATGTAGGGCTTCTAGACCCATGGGATGAGGAAGTGAGTGCCTTTTTCGATGGATTGTTCGAGGATTCTGCGGAAATGGTCGAAGAGGACGGTGCATTGGTCGCTGCCGACAGTGTAGAGGGAGCAGTTGAAGGCGACGATTTAACGCTGAGGATTGATGAGAGGTGATCGACCGTTGGTGTTACGACAAGAGGAAGATATTGTTGTGTGACAGAGAAAGTGAGTGAGTTAGAGTTGATAAATATGTTTGGTTGCTTTGGTTATTACACTTTGCACACAATGTGTTTGACACAATTCCACAATCAATCTCTTTTCTCTTATTGTTTGGATTTTTGTTTTATTTCAGATTTTGAATATGATGCTAGTAATGGATTTACATACTCAAATGCGGAAATGATGAAGGTTTAAGGCTTACCTACGAGACAGAGACTCGTCTCGGTTGTTGTTGAAATAAACTCTTCACGATTGCGTAGAAGAATTCCAAAGAGAAATCCGAATTAGGTACAAATTCTTCTTCTAATTTCTTCGACTTTGGTGGCTGCTGTTCTATTTTTGTGTCCAGATATCCTTATGTTGGATGTTGCTATTATTGTAACTGATGTTGCATATGAGGAAGCTGTTGCTGCATTTGTAGAAGATGATACTGTTGTGATTGCATCTGCTTGTTTTGTTGCATTTGTTGCTATTGTTCTATTTCCTGTGTCCAGATATCCTTATGTTAGATGTTGCACCACTTACCCTTGGAATTGAAACTGTTGGCAGAGTGATGACAAAGTTGATTCCTATAAATACCGTTATCCCTACCAGAAAATCCCAGGTTTTTACCACCTACCAGGCTCAGCTGACAACAGTCTCCATTCAGGCACTGTATATTTATTCCTCTGCATATTTTTAAGACTTGGATTTGACTGAATGAACTTGAACTCAAATGAGATGATTTCTTCTTACCTATATTATAGGTGTTTGAAGGTGAGAGGAGTCTCACAAAGTATTACCATCTCCTTGGTAAATTCAAACTGTCTGGAATTTTCTTCATCTCATATCAGTCACTTCCTAATGGTTTTTTGTTGTTCTTGTATGTATTTTTCTACTGTATCTGTTGTCCCTCTCTCCCTATATTTTGTGTATTTATAGTGAATGAAGAATGAGAAAATTGGGGGGAAAATTGGATGTGAAATTTGGTTTTATTGTAACTGTTTTATTGCTTTTTCGGTGCAGGCTGAAGCTTTCCATTCTTGTGCAAAATTGGGACAGCGTAGCAGGACTAGTTTGACGGCTGCAGCATAGGCTGGTTTTAGACAGAGTTTACACAGATTTGGGACTGTAATGCAAGGTTTGTAGCAACTAGTTTTGGACAGCAGACAAAAGACAGTTTTGGCTTTGTTTTGGACTATTATGTTTGGTGTATTATGCAGATTTTGATCTGTCTTTTGCAAGGCTGATATGCAGAGTGGACAACAACATTTTTGGAGCATAAAGTTTAATCAAATTGTATCAATTGGTCACTTAGAAACATATCATCCTGTAGCTTTAATTTCCCTTTTTCTTTTTGTTTCAAAATGTACACAATATGATATGTAATAATATTTGGAAATAATTATGGATGAATTTGAATGAAATTATGGAAATGGTTTGATGGAATTTATTTTGTGTAATGACTTTCTTTTTAGAACTTGTAATGACTTGCAATATTGAATGCATTTGTAATGGACTTGTTTGGATGATAATGATGGAAAGAGGTTAATCTTAAATTTGTATGAATTTTGAATCCATGCCTTGAATGAAATCAATGAAGTTTCAAACTATGTCTTTCCAATTTTCATTTTCTTTGATCTTTAACATTTGTATCTTGTCCTCCAAGTGCGCCATGATTCTTTCAACTTTGCTTGAATCAAATGTTTAAGAATAATCACTTGGAATAATGAACCTTCTTATCCTAGCTTCAAATCAAATATTGACAAATCTTGATCATAAGTCTTTGAATCAAGATTTGTTATTCACAAAAGTGCATTAAATAAATTTTTATGTTGTGTTTTAAACTCAATTCAACCAAAACACCTTGATACAACATCTTTTCCTTAACCACCAAAATGTGACACGAACCAAAAAGAAAGCTCTGAATCAATAAATTCTCAAAAGAAAACTTAATGCATTCTTTATTGAGACAAATCCTTTTCCAGTTGATGAAATTAACATAAACACAAGTCCCTTGAAATGAAGATGATTTGAGAACACGAAGATGAAAATGGATCACATGATTCTCCCCTGAAGTGATTATGGAAACTCTGGTATTAACAAACTCAAATTCATCTAAGAGGCACATTGAATGAAGAAGCTGACTTGAGATGTTGAGAATCCATAAAACCCTGGTTCGTAGTCTCCTCAGTTGAAAATAAGGAGAGAATCTTAACATGAGAAAGTTGCAACCCTAAAATCTTGCTCTTGAGAAGTATTTGGAGCAAATGAAAGAAGAATTTCACAATAACCATGGACCCAAAAACCTAGTCCCTTGACAAACAATAGGGAAGTAAACCATAATCTGTGATCTGATGAATTTGAATGAGAAATTGCCACGTAACTTCAGGAGAAACAAATCCATGATAGCCAGACTCTAAAAACTCTAAGTATACATAATTCACCGCTCGAGATCCAGATGAAAGCTCCTTTATCTGATGAAGAAACCTCAAGACACATAAAACTTTAGCTGAGGTGCAACACCTGATGCTCTTAATTCAGACATGTCTCTTCACATGAAACAAAAGAAAACACGAACATACACCTTTGTATGCGATTAGAAGTTAGTGATACATAGGCTAAAAATGTTCAAAACACTTGACAATCTCTGCATAGGAAATGCTCGGAGGTGAGAGAGTTAAAAATAGACCATGTTTTGTGACTTTGATTTTTTGAATAAAAATGCAAATGAAGACGATATCTTAGTTAAAAAATTGGGGTATGACAGCTTCCCCTATTTAAGTTTCTTCTATCTGGAGATATGAAGATTGAAATCTCCTTTTCGACGAGATTAAAGGGACTTAAATATAGAATACGCAATTTTTGGCCTTAAGATACCGCAATGGTGTTTATGATATGGTATGAATGTAATATTTGAATTTTATAGGGAATGATGCCGCATGAGACAAACCACTGCTGGAGAAACCAAGCACGTGATAAAATAATCCCATAGGGGAAGAGATTATAACTCCATTGGAGAAACAAAGCCACAGACTTTGATTGAGACTCTTATTGGGGAACAACTTCAAGAGAAGAAAAAAATTATTGACTCTATCAGAGAAGACGCCTTGCATAGGCTGTGAAAAGATAAATGGCTACTGACTCAAGATGATGGTAAATTTCCAACTCAATGTCAAAGGTAGAAAATCAAAGAGATACCATCTCACAGATGACAGTAAACTACCAACTCAATAGTTGAAGGTAGAAAAGTAAGAGATACCGACTCATAGATGACGATAAACTACCAACTAAATAGTTGAAGGTAGAAAAGATACACCAACTTTTACTTAAGGTGAGAGGCTGACTTTTTCTGATGGTAAAAAAACAAAATGTACACCAACTTTTACTGAAGCTGAACTACCGAATTTTACTGAAGGTAGAAAAAGATAATAAATCTTTCTGAGATAAACGGGTTCCAATTTTCTTCTTTATCAAAATTTTCACTTGAAAAAGGTAACGAACTTCGCTAACTTCTGGATTTCACCTAGAACAGTAACAATTTCTTCTTTAATCAAGATATCACTTGAAAAAGGTAACAAAATTCTCTAACTTCTGGATTTTGGCTAGAATGGAGAATAGTTTCTTCTTTATCCAAGATATCACTCGGAAAAGGTAGTATACAAACTTCTTTGCGGGACTTTTTTCGGAGAGATGCCATTTGCTGTCGCTGAGCAAACTTCTCAAAAGAGATGCCATTTGTTGTCGATGAGCAAACTTCTAAAAAGAGATGCCATTTGCTGTTGAAATAACATATTGTTGGGGATACACAAGCTGCTCAAATAAAGAGGCCGCCACTTGCTTTCTTTCAAAGATATCACTAATGCACAAGCTGCTCATGAAGAGGCCTCCACTTGCTATCTTCCAAAGATATCAATAATACACAAGTTGTTCATGCAGAGTCTGCCACTTACTATCTTCCAAAGATATCAATAATACACAAGTTGCTCATGAAGAGTCCGCCATTTGCTATCTTCCAAAGATATCAATAATACACAAGCTGCTCATGAAGAGTCCGCAACTTGCTATCTTCCAAAGATATCAATAATACACAAGTTTCTCATGAAGAGTCTGCCACTTGCTATCTTCTAAAGATGTCAATGATACACAAGCTGCTCATGAAGAGATCGCCACTTGCTGTCTTCCAAAGATATCTATAACACACAAGATGCTCATGAAGAGTCCACCACTTGTTGTATTCCAAAGATATCAATAATACACAAGCTGCTCATGAAGAGTCAGCCACTTTCTATCTTCCAAAGATATCAATGATACACAAGCTACTCATGAAGAGATCGTCGCTTGCTGTCTTCCAAAGATATCTATAACACATAAGATGCTCATGAAGAGTATGTCACTTGCTGTATTCCAAAGATATCAATAATACACAAGCTACTCATGAAGAGTCTGCCACTTGCTATCCTCCAAAGATATCAATAATACACAAGTTTCTCATGAAGAGTCCGCCACTTTCTATCTTCCAAAGATGTCAATGATACACAAGCTAATCATGAAGAGACCTTTGCTTGCTGTCTTCCAAAGATATCTATAATACACAAGCTGCTCATGAAGAGTCTGCCACTTGTTGTCTTCCAAATATATCAATAATACACAAGCTGCTCATGAAGAGTCTGCCACTTGTTATATTCTAAAGATATCAATAATACACAAGCTGCTCATGAAGATTC